AGTGAGACAACCTGAACTTTTCGCCAACAATTCATGGCTCTTGCATCATGACAATGCACCAGCTCACACAGCACTGTCTGTGAGAGTTTTTAGCCAGTAAACAAATAACCGTGTTGGAATGCCCTCCCTACTCACCTGATCTGGCCCCCAATGACTTCTTTCTTTACCCAAAGATAAAGGAAATATTGAAAGGAAGACATTTTGGTGACATTCAGGACATGACAACAGCTCTGATGGCCATTGCAGAAAAAGAGTTCCAAAATTGCTTTGAAGGGTGGACTAGGTGCTGGTGTCGGTGCATAGCTTCCCAAGGGGAGTGCTTCAAAGGTGACCGTAGTGATATTCAATAATGAGGTATGTAGCACTTTTTCTAGGATGAGTTCGTGAACTTAATTTTCACACCTTCATATACATACATATAGGTAACTTTAGGTTTTGTTTTTATAAAATGGGATCTTATTCTAGGTGTTGTTCTCTGACTTGCTTCTCCCCCTACCCCCACACTTAACCTGTCTTGGAAAGCATCTTATGTAAACAATATAGACCTATTGCTTTCTTTTTGAATGGCTGCATAGTGTGTTTCTTCGGAACAGCTTTATTGAGATATAATTTATGTACTATAAAGTCACCCATTTAAAGTGTACAATTCAGTGGTTTTTAGTGTATTCACAAAATTATGTAACCATTACCACAATCAATTTTAGAACATTTCATCATCTCAAACAGAAACCCTGTACCCTTTAAGTATCACCTTCGAAATCTCCCATTTCCCTCATCCCTAAGCAACCACAAATCTACTTTCTGTCTCTATAGATTTGTCAATTTTGGACATTTAATAGAGATGGAATCATATAATATGTGGCTTTTTGTGTCTGGGTTCTTTTACTTAGCATAATATTTTCAAGGTTTATCCATGTTGTAGCATGTGTCAGTACTTCATTCTTCTATGTTATGGCCAAATACTATTTTATTGTATGGATGTACCACAGTTCTTTATTCATGAATCGATAGACATTTGAGTTGTTTCTACTTTTTGAATACTATGAATATTAATGCTATGAATATTGGTGTACAAGTTTTTGTGTGGACATATATTTTTACTTTTCTTGGGGTATATACCTAGGAGTGGAATTGCTAGGTCAAATGGTAACTCCATGTTTAACTTTTTGAGGAACTGCCAAACTGTTTTGCACAGTGGCTGTACCATTTTATATTCCCACCAGCAGTATATGATGGTTCCAATTTCTCCATATTCTCGCCAACACTTGTTATTATTTGTCTTTTTAATTATAGCCATTCCAGTGGGTGTAAAGTGGTCTCTCATTATGGTTTTGACTTGTATTTCCCAGTGACTAATGATGTTGAACATCTTTTTATGTGCATGCTGTCTGTTGGTACATCTTCTTAGGAGAGATGTCCATTCAAATCCTTTGCTCATTTTTAAGTTGAGGTATCTTTTTTATTGAGTTGTAAGAATTCTTTATATATTCTAGATCCAAATCTCTTATCACATATATGATTTGCAGATATTTCCTCCTTGTCTGTGGGTTGTCGTTTCACTTTCTTGATAGTGTCCACTGAAGTACAAATGTTTTTGATTTTGGTGAAGTTTAATTTATTGATTTTTTTTCTTTTGTTGCTTATGTTTTGAGTGTCATATCTAAGAATCCATTGCCAAATCCAAGGTCACAAAGATTTACTCCAATGTTTTCTTCTAAGACTTTTATCATTTTAGCGCTTACATTTAGGTTGTTGATCCATTTACACTTAATTTTTGTATACAGTCTGAGATGAGGGTCCAACCTCATTCTTTGTATTGGCTATCCAGTTTTCCCAGCACAACTCATTGAAAGGACCCCATTGAATGATCTTAGTACCCTTGTTGAAAATCAATTGCCCTAAATACATGAATTTATTTCTGGCCTCCAAATTCTATTCCATTGATCTATATGTCTGTCCTTGTGTCAGTACTGCACTATCTTGATTACTTTTGCTTTGTAATATTTTGAAACTGTAAAGTATGAGTCCTCCAACTTTCGTTTTCTTTTTCAAGAATGGTTTGGCTATTCTGGGCCACTTGAGGTTCCATACCAATTTTAGGGTCAGCTTTTCAATTTCTAGAAAGGATCCAGCTGGGATTTTGATAGAGATTGCATTGAATCTGTAGATCAACGGGAGAGTACAGCTATCTTAATCATACTGACTGTTTGAATTGTGATCATGGCATTTATTTTCATTTATTTAGAACCCCTTTAATTCTTTTGTCAATGTTTTGTACTTTTCAAAGTATAAGTTTTGTACTTCTTCTGTTAAATTTACACCTAAGTATTTTTATTCTCTTTGATGCTATTGTAATTGAAATTGCTTTCTTAATTTTAATTTTGGATTGTTCATTGACAGGGTATAAGAATACAATTTATTATTGTATATTGATCTTATATCATGCAACCCTGCTGAACTCATTTATTATATTCTGAAGTTTTTTGTAAGTGAATTCCTTAGAATTTCTATATATAAGGTCACGTCATCTGTGAATAGAGATAGTTTCACCTCTTCCTTTCCAGTTTGGATGCCTTTTGTATCATTTTCTTGCCTAATTTCTCTAGTTAGAACATCTAGTGCAGATGTTAAATAAAAGTAGGGAGAGTGGATATCCTTATCTAGTTCCTTATCTTATGGGCAAAGTATAGTCTTTCATTAGTAAGTATGATATTAGCTGTGGGTTCTTGCCATGTTGAGAAAGTTCCCTTTTGTCCCTACTTTGTTAAGTGTTCTTTTTTTAATCAAGAAAGGGTTTTGGATTTGTCAAATGTTTTCTCTATGTCTATTGAGATGATAATGTGGATTTTGTTTTTTATTCTATTTATGTGGTGTATTATGTTCATTGATTCTTGGATATTAAACCAATCTTGCATTACTGGGATAAACCCCACCTGGTCATGATGTATAATTCCTTTTATAGGTTGCTGGATTCAGTTTGCTACTATTTTGTTGAGAATTTTTGCATCTATGTTCATAAGCTATATTTATCTGTAGTTTTCTTGCGATGTCTTTGGTTTTGGCGTTAGGATAATACTAGCCTCATAGAATAAGTTGGGAAGTGTTCCCTCTTCTATTCTTGGAAGAGTTTGTGAGGAATTAATATTAATTCTTTAAATTGTAGAATTCACAAGTGAAGCCATCTGGGCTGGCCTTTGTGGGTAGTTTTTTTATTACTAGTTCAATCTATTTATTCGGTGTTTTTAGATTTTCTATATAGATTTTCTCTTTCTTCCTGAGTCAGTTTTGATAGTTTGTATATTTCTAGAAATTCACCATTTCATCTAAGTCATCTAATTTGAGTTTTCATAATATTTGTATTTTAGTCTATGAATGTAGCTTACTCTAACCAATTTCCTATAGATTGGCATTTAAGTTGTTTCCGTTTTTGACTGTTACAGACAATGCTGCAATGAACTTCTTATTGTCTCTATCTTTGTGATCTTGCTGGATCTATCTTTGTGCATATGTGCAAGTATGCTTACAGTATAGCTCCCTAGAAGTGGAACTGCTGGGTCAAAGGTCTGTGTATTTAGCATGTTGATTGTTTCTGCCGCCCTTGTCGTCTTTCTGTTTGTCTTTCTAGCCTTACTGCTTTGTGCAAGTTCTTTGTGTCTAGTCATCTTGGTCTCCTGGAGACTGGAGTTTGTAAGAACACACAGAGCAAGTGAAAGGAGAGGTTTGGGAGCTGGGTGTTTGGTGGCTGCCTCTGGTCCAGGGTGTTGGATGTGGGTGCCCCAAGCTTGTCCTCAACCCTGTACATTCACATGTGGGGTTTTGAGACCCTGGAGGTCAAAGACTCTGCCTCTGACAGGCCAGCTTTTGCCTGGGAGAGTTTATTTAGAGCCCACAGCAGGGCTAGGTCTCCCCAGGTGACTCTACAAGGGTGCCTCCCATGGAGGCTTTCTACTAAGGAGTCTGAGGGCAGCGGGGAATCCAGATAGTTCTGGCCATTGGCGCCCGCAGAGGAAGGGAGAGTGTTTGAAGAAGTGACAGGGACATACATGGTTCTCCTTATCACTGCTTTCTTTTCTCTCCTGTTCACCTGGGAACTGTCTGTTCCGGACACTCATTAACTCATGGCTTGCCAGTGCCCAGATGTGGGCAGTGGTGTTAGGATAAGAAAGCATGGCTCTTTTCACAGAATGGGAAGTGGGGAAACTTCTGGTGTGGGTTTTGTTAAGGTAGAGCTTTCAGCCCCTCACCTCTCCATTTCCACTTCCGTTTTTCTGCTCTTTGTCTTCCCTGAAGTTTACAAAGGTCGCACCAAAGTAGGTTAAAGGTTTGGACTTAGGTAGTTTGAGTTTTTTAAAACAACCCACTCAGGCCCCTGGAGGTTACCATTCAATGGCTTTCAGGCTTTGCTTCACAAGCTCTAAGGTCCCCAGGAGGTGCCTTGGGGGCAGGGGACAGGGGCAGGCAGCGGTGGCACATCCATTGCGCAAGCCCCAAGGCTGCCCTGGCCAGCACGGCTCTACTTTTACTGTTTTTGTATGTTGGAGTTCCAAGTTAGATTTTGAAGAAGAAGTTAGAAGGGCTGTGTTGGCACAATGTTTGGAAAACTGCTCGTGGCGGACATCTTAGCCCCACACTGTTGGATTGAAAACATCCCAAACGTGAATCCTGCTGGAGATTGAATCCTAGGCTGACAGGCATTTTGGGGAACTTGGCTTTTTCCAGGAGCCCTACAAGCTCCTCTCTTTTGACAGAGACCGAGGGGCTGCTCTCTCCATGGCCATTTTCCAGCCCAGTATTTTTTATTTTTTGTTGTTGTATGGGGTGGCCTGGTCCTCCAGCCCCGCAAAGGCAAAATCAAATTATCTTCACTCTTGATCCAAATGAATTTTGTCCCCGGGGAAGCCCTGGGCTAAGCTTCCAGATGGTTGGTGAGGAGGTTTTTCTCTGCAGACTGCCTGGCTGATGTCCCATCTTTCTCTCCCCACCCTCTTTGTGTCTTTCAGTCGGCGGAGTTCTTTGAGATGTTGGAGAAAATGCAGGTGAGTGTCCCCAAAGTGGGGAAGTTGAGCCCTGGGTGGAGGGTGCTGCAGTGACCTTGGGGGGACACAACACCAGGCAGAACCTACTGGCAAAACTCGGGGGACCTTGGAAGAAGAGCAGAGAAGAGAGAACTCACAGTCCTGATGGCCTGGACCACCTGAAGCCGTCTCCATGTTGAGTGGCACAGAGGATTTTGGGAAGGCTCCTGCCTGAAGCACAGGGAGAAGATAAAAGACAGAGCTTCCCAGAAGAGCAGATGGGGTGTCATCAAACTCACTGATGTGGGGAGGGTTTGAGAGGGCCTGTTGTGCCTGTAATGGGTAGGCAAGAAAGCCTGAAAAAGAATACTCCTTAGAGAAGCCATCTTGTGTCTGGAAGGCAGAGCAGTAGATGAGCGATAGACCTGAGTTCAAATCCTGCCACTAACCCTTGCTTGCCAAATTCCTTCCCTTTGCTAAGCATCTCGCTCCTGTTTTTTGTCTACTCACATCAGTGTGTTCACCTCGCTCTGACACCAAATGTGTGGTTGTTCCCCCCCCCCCCCCCCCCCCCC